ACACACACACACACACACACACACACACATTTTTTTTAAATTGGCATTGTTATGAAATTAAAAAATGATGTGGTCATATCGTGTGTCTAACATTTTATCCACTCATACATTTTGTCAGGTCGGCATTACAAAGAAATCATTTTAAAATGTGAAATTATAAAAAGTTAACTCTAAATTATCGACATTTCACATTTTAATTTCATTTGTGTATGTATATATATATATATATATATATATATATATACTCTAGTCAAATAAAAATTCTGAAATGGCAAAAGAATCCTGTAACTCCTTAACACAAATTAAATACAAATTAAATTATTATGACATAATTAACAGTCATAGTAATCGCCATTTATCTACTCGCTGTCTTACGACCATCAGTAGATACATATTTTTTTTCCGCTGCAGACAACCACAAGTTGGTGATGTCATCCTTATTTTCAACTCTCCCATTGATTTTATGTTCTACAGGTGTGGAGTGAAAAAGACTACCTGTTTCTGAGAAAGAAATTGGCCAGTAGCCACGTTCACGCACATTACTTTAAGAGGTAACATGTTTCAAGATGTAATCCTCTTGCAAAATGGTCCAAAAGGTCTTTGATGTGCTGGAGCGCTTTGATCCACCTGCTAAATGCACCCGACCAAAGGATTAACACTCTTTAATTCTCTCTTAACCTGCATACCAAGGCACAAGAATCTAATCTTGACTACTTGTTCATTTAAAAAAAAAAAAGAAGAAACTCACAATTGTTCAGATGTAGCGTTATGTCGGTCTATGTGGAAACTACTTGAGGTGAAGTATTCCATTCAAATATCTTGTGTTGGCTCACCTTTTTTTTTTCTTTCCCTCCAGCGGGGTCATTGGCAGCGGTTTGGCTATTTTCTCCAAGCACAGAATCCAAGACACGCTTCTTTACCGCTACTCGCTCAATGGGTACCCATATATGGTAAGTATTATTAAAGAGAGTGTGTGTAGAAATGTTAGATTTTTCAATGTTCATTTATTTTTAAAACCTACTGTTAATTGCATTAATATGCAAAACAATGTGTTCTATCACATCACCGTACATTTTTTAATTATAATCGTATGGGTTTAGTAATCGCTAATTATATTATAAGGGTCAAGCCTCTCCTGACAGGTGGCTGACATGTTTCACCGCCATCTTTTTTGCTGCGGTTAATCAAAAGAGGCAAACTTTGAAAACAAACTTACCCGGATCAATGACTACAGAATGTGTAAAAAAATTGCAATGCACTTACTTTGTCACTTGAGGGAATACTAAGTCGTTTGTGATAACATTCTTGCTTGCATCTGGGGGTAGGCTAGCGAAGTGTGGTCTCTCAGGGGCACCGTAGTGCACACGCTTCCAACTTAGGTAACCTCAAGATCAAGCAGTGTACACACATTCTTACACAATTTTAATTTTTTTAAATGTTAGGAACTCAGCACATTACGGGGAAATAATTGACCATCTTACTGCTAGTATATGGTGTGCTGTCTTGGAGATGATTATTGCATAACCCATGAACAGATGTGCGCACGTCCTTCCCAAACCAGGTGTCTATCATCGTATTAAGACTGACCTGCTGCAGGCAGCAGGGTGACGCAGAAGAGTAGTGGTAGAGGTGAAGTTGTTAGTTTACATGAGTATTTGGCGCAGCCCAATGATGTCGCTTCTAGGCGACGCGCACACACACAAACTGACAAACACAAAAACAAAGGACATTTTGACCATAGTTGGTTTTAATTAGCATTGTATACAGAACACGTTAATTAAAATCAACACTCTTGATTAATTCTATTTAGTTTCTGAAAATATTTTTGCACTTTTTTTTTTTTTTTGTTCTTTTGTTCGTTTTCGTTAGCTTCGATAACCTGTATTTGATTTGAAGGAGAGGGGAGATGCTAAAATTTGGCCCGGTTGCCGATATTAGCGTACCTGTTTAGAAAGTATGTAAACTCGACCCATAAGGATCTGCAATCGTTTTCTTCTGTTAAGCGCCTAATTCCCGTGCTTCACGATTACATGTAAATCTTAGGTTCGCTTAGTAATTAACATGACTTCTCCGTCCGTCTTTCTTTGTCATCCCTTCGTGAGAACGGTACTTGTCAGAAGTGTAGCTTATTCGCCGCCACAGAGGCGATGATTACTGAGTGACCCCGCAACATGTTTTGCCGGACTAAAAGCCAGCCGAAGCTCATTGCTAGCTGGTTGGTGTGGCGTAAGTAATGCACTGACTCCCCGCAGTATGTGGATTGACGATGCGTCCAGTCTTGCAAATTCCCAAAATGCACCAGGCCCCTCAAATCTTAAGAGTGCAATACATCTCAGGCTCACCACGGGGACTGGTTTGGAGGCAAAGCTGTGGGGCTGGCCATCCTGAACATCGGCACGCTGACCGCCAACTTCTACCTGACTCACGTAAGTGGCGCCTTAAAACATACGTCTCATCCGAAGATATGCTGGATGCGTTAACTGACAAGAAATAAATCTGTCCTTGCAGCTGCACGCCGAGTACTGCCGGGAGAGGGACGCTTATCTGCCTCACAGGGTAGTCCAGGCCTGGGAACTGCAGCAGTTCATCCGGTACGGTTCCATTGTTATCTCCATAATCGTAAGGTGTAGGGGTGTCCAGCATAATGCCGTTTCACTTTTCACACATCTGCCTAATCTCGAAGATTTATTCTAGGCTAGCGCTATATAAGTAACAGGCCATTTACCGTTTACCAACTTGCCTCCGTGGCGGCAACTAAACTACACTGACAACTAACATTATCACGAAGGCATCATAAGGAGTAATTAACAAAGGGAAAGCCATGCTAATTGCTCAACTAACTAATGTCATCGTAAACGAATGTAATTTCAAGTGCTTGGGTGACCTAGTTAACTTCACAGAGATCTTGCTGGATGCGCGTTATTGCATAGCGTATTCAACATTGGTCAGCAAAATAGAAGGCAAAAAATGGTGGTACTACCGTTGTAAAACACAATATGGCTGGATATGGCTGGTTGGGTCTAACCATTAACTCGTATGAGGCAATCGCTATCTTAAAACGGGGAAACAGATTTATTGTGTGTGCTCCTGGCTTATTACTTTGATCACTGCAAAAGGCATAATATGCTTGTGATTTATTTGTATTATCGTTTTTAATACACTCAAAATGTGTGCTTCAAATGGATAGGATCATCATCGACACATAATATTAAACATTGACTTCTCGCAAGGTGCATTCATGTACCGTCGGACATTTCACATTCAAACAGAAAAAAGTCCCCTCACTGAAGTAAACGTGAATATTGACAAATATTTAAATGTAGGCTTTCTATCACTATTGAAGCTGACTTATCAAGAACAATGATAGGGGTGAAGTCACTTTTCTATTTTACTTAATTGCAATTAATTAGTCCATCTTGTCACTTATGTTACCCTACCCGATTAAATCACTCGGCTTCCATTCCATCCTTCAGTCGAGTGGTTAGGATGTCAAACATTAAATATTTAATGAGAACTCCCCAAATGCTTAAATAATAAACAGCAAATATTTTTGTGCCCTAAGACTAAGTCCTGGATAAAACTGAAAACACCAGCCCTGTGTAAAATGTGCTGTTTTTCTTGTTCAATTGTTCTAAAGTGTTTTTTTAAAAAAAGTTCGTATTTTTTCTTGCAAGCTTTAGAGAGAGATAATTATGTTGAATTACTAAAAGTAAAACAAATTTGAAGTTGTTTCACTGTCAGCTATTTCACTGCATTTTACTTATGTTAAGTTTTTCCCATGGTATCATTTACTTTTTTTGTCTTCTTTTCAAGGGATATAAGATAACTGACCTGTTTTGTCAGTCGCTGCTTGTTCCAAACGTAGTTGTTGTGGCACCAAAAACTTTGTAAATACTGTCTATCTTCAGTCACTGTCAATTTTTACATCATATGAGACTATTGTATGCTAATTGAGACAACTCTACATCAGCAAATATGGTCTTGCTGTACCGCCCCAAAAAAATGCGACCAAGTCTGTGCTGGTGTGACCAACTGAAAGATTTGCCCGCACCAGTGCTACCAGTGCAAAAGTTAGTGTAAAGCTCTGGGAATATACGCTCTGTTGTTTGCTTAAAACTTGCATACTTGCTGTTTTTGTGCTCATCTGGTGGCTTGAAGTGGGCTGAGGAGCTTCATATACACAAAATTAGTGCTTGGCCACTATCTTATGGTGTCAGTAGACAATTACAAAACCTTTTGGAGCGGGTATCTTACTCGATGTCGATTTGTTGATAAATTTAATTGGATTTCATGTTTCTAGTCACACATCCGCAGGCGCCGATGTGGTGGTCCTCGGTGGTGACCTCAACATGCACCCTCAGGACCTTGGCAACCGCCTGCTGACGTCTTACACAGAACTGCGGGATGCCTACGCCGAGACCGATAACTTTGACGTAGGTCTTCAGAAACATGCAAAGACTTTGGACTCAAGAAGTCTTATTTAGGGGAAGGAAAACTTTTGTGCTCAAGGCCACACATTTTTCGAAACGGATCATTCGTAAATGAGGTCAACTAAATAAAGTGCCCCTCAAAGGTGGGAGTGATCCAACGTTGGAGTTTTTTGAGATAAGAGGAATCATTCGGACGATTTTGATGTATTTTTTGCTTCAACTTATGAACTCAAACTTGAGATATGAGCTTTGTGCCATTGCAGTGACCTCAACTTGCTTCACAAGCAGCAATTTGCCAAATAGGGAAAGAAACAACCGACCAAAGTTGCCTCAAGAATGGCCCCTGGTAGAATAATGCTAACAGAATAGAAAATGCCACTGATGTGCTAACAGTTAGCATTGACAGGAGTGTTTTGCTAGTAACAGTTAAACACAAATAGTGGAGCAACACTCTGGAGACAGATAAACAGCAATATTCAGTGGCATATATTTATGCTCTACAGAAAATGACTAATATTACATCAACTTATTGAGTCACTGTGGTGGTAGTAGTTGTAGTAGACGTCTATTTTTTGTTTGCCTGCTTGACTGCATTATACAGCACTATACAGTGTCCAAGGCGGGCACGCGATGGCAGTATTAAGTCATGGACAAATTCGAAAAATTGTATTATGGTGCACTATTGTAGATTGCTGTAATGCAATATTTTTGACTTCTAAATTGTGTACCCCCCCCCCCCCACACACACACACACACACGCGCACACACAAATTTGAGTGGTATCGGTTACTTTGTATCGGTATCATTAAGTATTCATGAGTTGACAACTCGTGCTGGTGTCGTTCTGGAAAAAAAGTATCAAACATCCTGACTTTGAAATACAGAATTTCAGTCTGAATTCAAAGAACATCCAGGGAATATACTGTATCTACTACTTTCAGGGAATAGTCCTTGTTTCCTGGCGTGATCCCGATCAATAGACGTCTACCTACCACTTTGTTTTAACGCGAGCTGAGTTGATGTCTCCAAATAAGAGTTATCAAATGCCAAAAGGAGAAGTTGACGAGTTGCATGTTTTAGGGATGTGAAGATGGTCTGACTCTCATTCTGGACAATCCATTCATCAGCCAGAAGGTGATCGCTCCGTTTGAGAAAGGCATCAGAATCGACTACATCCTCTTCAAGGTGGCACACACATTCAATTTACCTCGTGGCATTGCACATTATAAAGTAGACATGATGCATATGAACACTAAAAATGTACTTTTCCATTTATTTGTTTCATCTAACTCTTTGCTGTTTGCACGGGTGTAGGGTTCTTGCAAAGCCGACATCCAGTGTGTGTCCATGCGCACCACCAAAGGCTCCATCCCAGGACAGGCTTTCCCCTACTCAGACCACGAGGCTCTGACAGCTGAGTTCACCCTCGCTCCGAGCGAGGCTGGCGGAGACTTTCGGTCGAGCAATCGTGACTGTGCACCAGGTATTTTTGTGACCGCTTGATTCACATTAATCTCCCACAGGCAGGCTCACTTACCATGCGAATATTGGAAAAAAAGCAGCTGTGATGTGTGGACTCCCAGCGATATGAATCAGACCAGCATCGATCATGCTTTGAGGCTCCCCATACAATATGCTGCATTGTATGACTTTTGACTAATCAACAAATAGATGATGGCAGTCACGCTTTGCGAAAGATGTGGGCGATAATCATGAGGACAGTGTGGAGATTAAAAGGCGAGTGGGAGATTGTTTGCAAGGAATTAAAAAGGCAACTTTGAATCCTCTTGTCCTCAGGGGACGTGGCCAGACTGGTGGACATATTGACTGAAGCCCGCACTGAGGTAAAAGTGGGTGTGCACTGCGCCGAGCGGATGCGCTACACGGCGGCCCGCACGGCCGCTATGGGCCTGGCCTTGCTGCTGCTAGAGCTGGCCATTGCAGCCGTGCCCTGGCTGACGCTGGGGGCGGAGCAGGCCTTCCCGCTCACCACCTTCTACTTGCTGGTGGCACTCTGCTTGGCCATCCTGCTGTGCACCTCGTTGCTCTACGTCTTCTACACCATGGAGCTCAAGTCCCTGCAGGGAACCGAGGACCAGATGAGGCTGTCCGTGGGTGGCCTTCAGGAGAAGCTGCGGGCCTTACCCCTGTCCCGGCCCACCGAGGGTGTGAAGCCCGGCAATATGTTCTGTGATGAGGAATAATGGGATTGTTCAAATCTTATCCATCCACTTTCTGTACCGCTTATCGAAGCTTTTTCTTAACCGAAATAGTGAATGCTCCATTTAACAATCTCACTCAAATGTTTTAACACACTTTTCAGCTCAGGACGTGTATCACAACTTTTGACACATTTGCAGTATAGTGAACAGCTTTAACATTTGCAATCGTCGACTGCAACTATTTTCCGAGCACATTAGGGAGAGAAAAACATTTCTACATTTACACCGCAAGTAATTATACCCAACTCTTGATTTATTTTTATTTTTTTATCAAATCTGATCTTGATACGTACTCGTTCACAGTACAAAAACAAACACGACTTACAATGTGAACGGAAGGCATCCATGATGTGACACGCATGTACACACAGCACAATTCGGAGTCATACGCACAAATAATGGTGTCGTGTGGCACAGTGTTTACCGAAGTAAAAATGCTCCCCTGTACCGGCGCTTATTTCAGAATGACAGGTTTGAGGCAGGAAGAGTTAGAAATATTTTGGGAAATGCGATGAAATTGCTCGATCTCCTCATTTCCTGAACATGTCTACTAAAGATGCAACAAATGGAACATTTTGTGGATGAATTACTACTATCACCGCAATCATCCACTTTATGCTTCATGTTTCTGGTTGGATGAAATTAAAGTCAAATATAAAAGTAACACTCGAAACAACCTAGTAGGTTCACGGACTCTCCACAACCTGCACTAAGCGCATATTTTATTTTTTATGAACATTGGTCGGATGTGTACGAATGAGCGTTTCTACTGCAGACGCATCTGATACATTTATGTCCACATATTAAAGTGGCCGTGTCAAAAAACTCTTTTGAGTTGCACCATTCACATCATGAAAAAATATCAGATACGTCACATATGGTTAAAAAAAAAAAGAATTTACCTGCGGTGTGAAGGTGCCTTCGTATATCTCACTCCACAAGCTAGTCGCTCAGGATAATTGACAATTGGCCTTCACTTTTTCATTTGTTTTTATTTTATATTGGAATACAAAAAACATTTATATAAAAACAGTTGAAAAGAAGCAGAAGAAAAAAATAACCTTTAAAAAAATCCCTTTAGACTGTCGTCAACATGATTTTTATTTAGAAAAAAAAATGTAAGACATTTCTTAACACACCGCACTAACAGGATAATCTTGCAAGGTCAGATGTTCTTGTGTGCACCAGAAAATGTTTTGACACACTTTCCCATTTTGAAAATGTATCAAAATTGTTGCCACAAAAGAATTTTGGTTGGCTAATATTAACATATTTAACATTTGCGATTCTCAGCATGACCATTTTTTAGATCGATCAGGCAGGAATAAAATAGCACACCACAAAATAATCATTCAGGATAATCTTTTCGAGCCATCAAACCATCGAGCTTTTACTGATCTTGATCATACGGTCTCAGTTATCACTATGTGTATAACACGCTTCAACTGTTGGCCACTCAAGGATTTGCAATCGTATTGAACTGGATTAACATTCGTGATCAGCTTCGACCGGTTTTAGAGCAGATTGTGGAGAGGTAAACTCATTCATAACACACCACACCCCGCTGGATAATTGTTAACGGGAATGTGTGTACCCTGTTTTGCAAATGCAATAAGTAGAAAACGCGCGGGTGTTTGTCATGGAGGAAAAAAGTCCTAGAGACAACCCACAACCTCCATATAGAAAGCTAACCTTGTGAAGCCCTCTAAATTAACCGAAAGCCATTTTGCTATTTTAATAATCTGGAATCTTTTGCTCTTTGTGGTCACTACAGCTGCATGGTGACAAAGCTATAGCGCAAGAGTGGTTTTGTTTTAAAAGGCCAGCAATGCAAGTTTCATTCCGCCCACCTACCGCTTTGAGGGGGGGACCACATGCAGTATTCCCATTACTGTGTTTACTAATTATACTTGAACATTCTCTGACTCCATCCTACACATTTCAAGATGCAACCCTTTTCCAACACATTTCACTCCCGGCCAGAAGTAATTTTAGGAAGTACTGTGTAGGAAGAACTTTCTCAATGACTTTTCTACCATAACATATTGTCATGGACACTCCTTGATTTGAGCCGTAACATCTCTGGATGATATGTGAAAAAAAAATGTAAATGTAAATCATTTCAGCTAATCTTTAGTTTATCAATGATACAAACCTTCCTAGTATAATATACATATGGCTGGGCCAAATCTTACACTGATGTTATTTTAATGTTTTAAGCTTTTGGGGCATTGTGAGAAAATGAGATTCATTCCAACTTACTACTGTGTTTTGCATGATGTTGAAAGCAAAAAATAAAACAATCATGACGGCTGAGTCGCCTCTTGAGGGCAACCTCAACACTTTCATGTCTAAAGATGGACTAAATGAACAATAACTACACTTATGCACTGTCAAGGTGTTGTTATAAAATGATTGAATCATTAGTGTCATAAACCAAAATGTTTGTTTCATATTATGAAGATGTTTTATGTATTTTTATTCCATTCGTTTTGAAATTGCTAAAATACTTTCATGATTTGGTTGTCATTTTCGGGTACTGTAGTCTTAAAATCCCAAGTATTCCTCAAAGTGTGACTTGTCCTGCTGCAGTTATTTTCTATTCAATGTTTTTTTTTTTTTTTTTTTGGTATTTAGTAATAGGTTTCCGATTTGTTACAGTATTTGAAAGTATTATTTGATCTTTGAAGTAATTCTAATTCTTATTCCAGTGATTTTGGTTGAAATTGGGCTAAAGTATTCGGCAAATAAAAGCTGTGCTGTCTTCAGGCAGGAGGGGGCTTTTTTTAGCCCTATTATCTGTATGTACTGTTCTCAAAAGTCTTTTAAGAATGAGAATCTGTTTATTATTCCTCTTCTTATTTTGAAATTGTTAGCTATACTATTTATTCATTTTGGGGCTAATGTTCTTACAATAGCTCAAATAGAACAACAGTATTGACTGTTGTACTCTTGTCTTCCAGCAGGTGAAACTGGTAAACCAGGTGCACCATTCAGTGTTGACACACCCAAAGATTATTAAAAAAAAAGCCCAACTCAACGTGTCAGAAAGGGCGCGGTCTGGATAAGGTGTGCCAGCCCTCCTCCCTGCTCCGCAGCTTCTCCCTCCCTGAGTCCCTCCCTCACCTGTCTACCGAACCGACTGGACTCATTCATCCCTGCGTCGCTTGAGCCTCGGAACCTCCGTCACGATGGCCGGCCTCCAGCCGCTCAAATCGGCCCTGTCCATCTCTCCCGTGGACGACACCTCTCTGGCCCTGCCCTCGGCCCACCAGCAGTACCGCTCCGGAGAGCAGCGCGTCCTGGAGCAGGTGCAGAGCGTGCAGAGGACCAGATCCAGGCACTCCAGCAGCAGCAGGACTGGCTCGACCTCTTTGTCTCCGACCAGTAAGAAGTTTCAGCAATTCGTCCAGCGTTGCACAAACGTCTACTAATTGGCCTTGATTATACAGAGCAGCTCCTTTAAAGTTCGGTTTGTTGTATAACCTGCAACTATTAGTGCACATACTAATTAGCTCAGCACAATGTTACAACTCAACATCCATCATAAGAGAAGGTGTAATACCATCTGGTTAGTACTGATTATGCAATAATCACTCCATAAATCTGATTTTTTTTCATTCCGTTGTGCAGTGTTCACTCTAAAAGCACTCTACTTGTACTTGCTTTACATTTGAGTAATACCTGACTCATATTGCTGTAAATCTCCTGCAGTTGTCAAATGTCTTCCAAAACTAACTTTACCCTCAGTTTAAGACCAAATCCTGCAAGATTGGCATCAGTTTTCAATTCAGCTTTTGCTCTATAGTTCTTCTTTTTGTGTGTATTTATGTATTTTGTGTGTGTGATTTTATAGTGGCTTAATTTTTCACTAGCTACACAAAACATATTAATGTTATTCCTGTATATTTTATTTGATTCCGATTCTGTAAATATTGTCCATAGTTCATAGTTCAGTATTGTTCGTTTTTGGGTCATATTTTTATAACCCCCCGCACCCCCACCTAGTCTAACTTTTTATTTCATTTTTCATTTTGTTATTTCATTGAAGGAAAAATCAAATGATTGTGTGTGCCTGGTCATAGTTCAATGACCAATTGGTGTATTGAAGGTGGAGCCCATAAAAGTGATATCCGCCATAAACGTTCACTACTATCAGACTGTTTAGATATTATGTAAGCTCCAAAGGGTTTACAGTATCACCTTCCAATAGGCGGGCTTGTGATAATGCATTTTTATAGCCTGCCTTAATAATACGGTGTAATCATGAGACGGCGCTCGGTGTGTTGCAGTTCTACGTTGTCAAATCCAGACATTGTAACTTTAAGCAAACAGGTTTTTCTAATTGCCGCCTCATTAAAATACTATAAACTCCTTTTGCCCTGTACGCACCCATACTTTTGAGTATATACTTCTCTGCGAGACTTTTGACGTGCCCTCCGCTGCCAATTCAGTCTTTTAGGAACGTTGTTCCTCTGATTAGTTCCAACAGCTTTGAACCACAGATGAGTCACAACTCGGTCTGTTGGAATTAGAGTGATGATCACTTTGAGGTACCGGTAATCAATCTGCGGCCGCAGTCTTTGCTTTTGCCCGATCAAACTTTTTTTTTTATTTCCTCTTTCAGGCCCTTTGAATGATGCAATCGTTTCTAATGGAAATGTCTTCTTTGGGAATGGTTACCTAAAAACTGTGAGTATGTTTTAAACTTAAGGGTTAGTCAGGCCTAGTGTTTAGGGGTTTAGTGTTAGTGGAAATAGTACAGTCAGTAGAGTTATGGTCAATGGGTTAGTCTAGTTAAGGCGTTGTCTTTCGGGTTCGTAGGATTAGTAGGTTTTACTAACCCGGAGGAACCAGGATTGCATCTGCCAAACAGGCAAAAATTGCCGCACTGTTTGTTTTGAGCTTTCTGAACGGAGTATCTATGAATTTAGCACTCTCAATATTATTTATGAAACTTAAGATGAAGTGTGTGCGTCTTTAAATATCGCACCTGGAAGGCAGATGAAAATTAGGATGCAGCGCTGGCTAAGTGAATGAACTTTACCACTTTTCTATAAACATTTTTGTGTTAGGTTTAGGGTTAGTCAAATGCTCGTATGGTTCATATGTAACGTTTTGTAGGGGTGTGGTTGGCCAGGTCAGGGTTTTGAGTTAGTGACAGTCCAGAAGTATGATCCATATGGTTACGGTTCGTGCATATGCATATGCAATGCATTTGTTCTCCTCCAAACACACTTGTGTTTTGTCCCGACAGGTCCCTCTTGAGAAAAGCCTCAACCGCCAGTCATTCAACAGCACCCCTAGCGCCATTGCCAAGACCACCAATACCTTCAGTCGTCGCTATGAATTCGGCTACACTCCCATGGGCTGGGTGGCCCCCAACCGCGAAGAGCCCGACCTAGGCTGGCAGTCCTCCTTACCCAAACGCCGCGAGCTTCCGCATAGGCTCCTCTCTAACCGTAGCACCTACAAAACGGAGATGCTCCGCAGCAGTAATCAGTTCACGGGTAACAGTCAGCATTTCGTCAGCAGTCCGCTTGACGTCAAGAAAACACAGTCCAAGCCTCTGCTGCTGGACAGTCTGCCCAAGCAAAGCAAGCTGCCCGGCAAAATGGATTCTGGGTAAGGGAGGACGACACGGTGATGTTCGTCACCACTTTACTAGAACCATATTTGTCGATTTAGGGTTAATGTAAAGCAAATCAAAACGCTTGTCAACATCCATGTTATTAAATATGCAGGTCAAGTGGAAACAGCGCGGTGGCTGACATCACCATGAAAGAAGCCGTCGACTTCCTGTGCAACGAGGATATCGAATACCAGCACCGCGGAGCCTCCTACATCCAGCACAACACTTTCATGAACGACAAGGCCAAGGAAGAGGTGACTTATCTCACTGGCTAAGAGATTAGCGCTATAGCTTCAAAGTTCACATTGTCACTAGAGGTGTTAAGTGTGTTGCCTAACACGGGAGGAAACGAAGAAGGATCTTCGCTGTGTGACTGAATAATCCGATGCCCCAGTGTATTACCCTATCCATTTTTTGTCAGATTTATCATTTTCTGTCTCATTTCTCCTCATAAATCGAGGGTGAGTTTGAGCTAATGAGCGCTATGAACAATGGACGTATGCGTGATTGAGGATGGAATACTTGAATATTACAAACCAGGTGATGAAGCGCAACGGGATCGCTCCCTTGGTGGCGCTGCTGCACAGCCCCAACCCGACCCTGAGGCAGACGGCCTCGGCCGCCCTACGCAACCTCGCCTTCAAGAACAACGACAACAAAGTGGAGATCCAACGATGTGGTGGCATCGCGTCTGCTGTGGCCCTGCTTCGTGAAACCGACTCCCTTGAGACCCAGAAACAGCTCACAGGTAGATCACGCAGTTTATCCTGCTCCTTAATCCCGCTGTCAATCAGTCATCAGGCAGAAATTCTGGGTGATGCTGCTTTTACATACCAATGACTGAACATTAATACAGTGCATTCGCAAAGTAGGCTATAAGAGCAAAACGTGTGTTGAATATTGAATATTTTCCAGATTCGCTTCTGAATGTTTTAGGAAACAACATTCCTTTTATGTCCCTCCAGGTCTTCTGTGGAATTTGTCATCCGCCAACAGCCTGAAGACGGACCTGCTAAAAAGCACGCTGGCTGTTCTGATGGAACGCATCATCCTGCCTTACACCGCAAGCCCAGAGCGGGACACAGCCAGCGGTCCGGATCCTGAGTCCTTCTTTCACGCCACTAGCTGTCTGCGGTAAAACAATTTTGCAAAATCAACAATTTTGTTACAGACAAATGTTGACAATAAAATAGCCCAAAGATTAAGAATTCAATCATTTGCCAAACCACTCAACCTAACTAGGGTTGTGAGCGTGCCGGGGGCTATCCCAGGTCTCTTTTGGTGAGAGGCAGGGGACACCCTGAACCGGTCGCCAACTAATCGCAGCGCAAAGATTAAGAGGTGTAGTACCATTTTCACACCGTGTTTGCTGAGTGGGTGGTCGTGTCTCATACAACTGAGTGACTATATGTATACACCCCCATATACTGCTGAAGCACAGCCCATTTTGTGAGGAATGCACAAACATCTGATGAGACAAGAGCAGTATTTTTACTCATGGAGGCAGCACTTCATAGACTACACTGTGTTTAAGTATGGAAACATCATCAAACAAATGGAATGAACCTATGCTATTTGCGGGACAGGAACCGAACTCTGCCGCAAATAGCGAAAAAGCCACAAATAATTAATGCCCTTTGAAAGAGTTTTTTTTGAATTGCTTATAGATGCCAAAAGCAAAGCA